TTTTTTTTTTTTTGTTCGTAAAAAACAAAAATTAATTCCCAAACTTCCCAATTTTTTATTTACCGCTTTTCCAGCTAAATATCTGAAAATTTTGCTTTTGAAAACTAGTTTTCGCTCCAAACTAAATATTACTAATAAAAATATTTGTCATAATGTAAGTCATTCTGCGGAAAAACATTTTGCACTTAGAAGTTTGAACCTAATTTAGCGGAGCATCGATTTTGTCCGGAGTATCGCGGAGCAACAGAGTCCCAATTATAATTTGCTGAAATAGGTGAGATTTATTTAATTCCTATCATATTGCGTTATTAATTCAATTCCCCAAAAGATAAATCTTTAAGCAAATGATAAATTGTCTACTTGTTTAATAATTGGCCTTTTTTTTTGTGTGCCTGTTGTGGTGTATTTGATGCGGCGCAGTCGCTGACTAATAACTGTTGGTGTTACTGCTCTCATTTTTCCCATTTATAGAAACCCGTGATTTTCAATTGCAGAAAATTTTCACCAGCCAACAAGCCTAATTATAATTGTTCAATGGTTTTAACTTTTAAGTTATGTGCACTGACAATGTAAAAATTGTGCTATCTGTGAATTTTGACTTGTGATAGGATGCTATTTACCATATTTACTTGATTACTAATTAATGTTTATCAAGATATTTGCCCAATAATTGACCTGATAGCATGAATTTTGACTGTGATAGAAGGTTAGTTACCATCTTGCGCCTATCTTAACTAATTCCACAGAATATCTACTAGCTACCGCTAGCAACAGAAAAGTTACCATCTTTACTTGATTAGCGGTTAATATACTTTATACTATCGATGAATTTTGACATGTCATAGGAGCTTAGTTATCATCCTTATCTGATTTCTAGTTAAAGTTTATCAAGTGATTTACATGTAATTATCCAATAATTGACTTGATAGACTGATGTGTAACATATTTATCCATCATTCCATTCTCTTGGAACAATGAGCCTAAATATCTGAATTGTTTGCATTTGAGCGCCTCAACCCCATCTAACCTCACCTTGATTTCGCTCTTTTTATGTTGGCTAAACTTGTAGTGCATATAGCAGTCCTACTGTTACTTATCCTAGGACCCTTACTCGCTAGAGTGCTTCTCCATGGTTCAAGCTTTGGTTGCATTATCGATGATTTCGTTACTAAGTACAATATCGTCAGCAAGTAACATACCTCATGAAACCTCATTTTGTATTGTTTTTGTTATCTCACCTATCACAAGGGTAAACAAGTACGCGCTCAGTGTCGATCCCCAGTGTAAACCCATGGTTATTGGATATTCCTTTGTATCTTCTACTAGTGTTCTCATGCTAGTGACGGGACGGCTCCTTCATACATGCCCCACAAGATGAAATCTTTAAGCAAATTGTTTATATGCAAGTTTTAACTTTGATACTGTGATAAATTTGTCTACTTGTTTAATAATTGGCAGTTTTTCCCTTTTTGGTGTATTTGAGTTGCGATAGATATATACAAGGCGGTATAATTGCATGATTCTGATGGGGCATCATGAGACAAAGGCTTCCACTAGTAGGGATAGGTCTCCGTCACAACAGAGGCACAGGCATAAACCTAAGGACATGGATTTGGATAGAGAATTGTCATCTGAAAGAAGAGAACGAAGGTCAGGAAGAGATGTAATTGAGCATAGGTCTCCTAGGCTGAGACATGATTACTCCTATTCGGCTTCAGATCATCAAAGCATGGATCATCACAGATCCAGTTCAAATTTTAATGTTGACACAGAAAGACAAAATGAGGTGCTTTATTTATGAATACCCTTTTACGTTGGAGTATTCTGCTTCTTCTTTTGTTGTGCACTTGTTTACTATATTGCTATTGGACATTCTTAGGAGAATTGTTAAAAGATTGCTTAAACTAAATTCTGGCATAGACTGCCATTTGTGGAGTTTGAGAATTGAAATACGTGGGCATTGAATAATTAAGTGGAACGCGGAAATTATAAGAAACAGAATGTTAAGATAATGGAAAAGGGCCAAATCTGCCCGTGAACTATTGCCTTAGGGCAATAAATACCCTTTGGTCACCTATCAGTCCAAAAATGTTCCCGCCGTGACTTTTTGGGCTCATTTCTGCCCGTTTGACCAATGAACAACCCGGTATTTGCGAGACGATAACACCATAAATTTTCAATAAGGCCGTTGAAGTTGCATAAAGCCGGAAAAAATAGAGATCGCTGGATACTTTTTTGAAGGGTCCAAATTTTAGTTTTCTTCCTCTCTTTTCTGCCAGAAAAAGATGAAGTTGCTTATTCTTGTTCTTTAGATTCAATCATCTCACTGCTTCTTGAAAAGAATTGTGGCTGGAAAAGTGGAGCTTTGCCGGAATCTTCTTTTTCTGTCAACTCTTTCTCTCTATCTTTATGTTTTTTGCTGAGATTTTATGTTTTCCGGGCGGGTTAGTGTTTGGGTTAGAAAACCAGGTATTGAGGTGGGTTTATTTAACTGGGTCATTAGTTTTAATTTGGACCAGTAAAAACGCCACGTGAAATTTGAATAATTTTTTAGGTGCAGTATTGACCATTAGTCATAAGGGCAGAAATGAGCCCAAAAATAACAGTGGCCACATTTTTGGAGGGTATTTATAGCCCTAAGGCAATAGTTCAGGCCAGTTTTGGCCCTTTTCCAGTAAAAAAATGAAAGAAGATAACAGTGTGAATCTCATTTATATCTCATAAGACAACCTAATTTAACTTGGCCTCAGACACAGGCCAAAAGAAGAGGGTTTTTGGAGATTACATCTACAAAAAAGATAACAAGCACTAAGAAGGAATTGATGCATGTTGGAGGTTGCGTTGCCTTGAAATTTCTACCTTACAAACAAGAGAGTAGAGGGAATTTGACTAATGCTGTTTGGTGGGGGTTCTAGAAGAAAGTAAAAACTTGAGATATCTAAAATCTGAGTAAGATGAGAACGATGGGGCAAGGAGTAGTAGGCAGCGATATACAGCAGCAAAGACAAGCTGGAAAGGTATGATTGCCTTAATCAGTGATTGAATATCCATCTTCTTTTCCTTCAATAGGTGAATATCCATCTTTTCTTGAACCTTGTAACCAACAGTGGTTCGCTTCCTTTGTTTGTTCTAAAAATAAAATGAATGTTAGAATCCCTAGCATACTCTTCTTTCAACTTTAGTTGAAGATTCTGTACTTCCAGTTGCAATTTGCATATATGACCTCTCTCTCACGGGAAAACATAATTTAGTTACTATTCCATCTTCTTCTCAGGTCTTCAACTCAACTGGTCCCGAAAACTGGTAAGCCTCTGATGGAGCTTTGGTTCTTACTTTAACTCTTCTTCTCGGTACATGTCCATAAAATTCCTTGCCTTTTTTTAATACCTATTCAGGTTGAAAATCAGGAAATCTTTCTTGTCAAGAATACGTGAAGTGTTACCCATATTTAGAATATGGCATAAAGTTATCAAGGTTTTTAGTTCTTAATTTCCTTGTTCTTTTCTGGGGTGTTGGTAGCAGTGATATGGTGTGATGAAAAGAGCAATAAATAGCTGAAAATAATATGTATTGTGGTGAAATTAATATTTTATTGATTTGATGGATAAAAAAGTTCCACATACAAGGTGCATAAAAAAGTTGATGAATTTTTCAAAACAAGGTGTATACGGAAGTAGAAATCCTGTATCAAAACATTATCCTCCGAAAAAAAATACTTCAATCATCAACACTAACTGAAATATCAGTTTCGACTGTAGACAAAAGATAAAAGAGGTCCACTAATATGTGCTAGTGTGTTTTCAACTTTTTGAACGGTTTTCAGTTCCTCTATTTGTCTATTGTCCAGAGCGTCGAAGGACCTATTTCCTATGATTTCCTTCTCTGCCCAGTGTTAAAAATAGCGTGAAGTGAGGAAAAGCGACAACCCCCATTTCACAAGAAGCGAGAAGCGAGAAGCGAAGCGCCCGCTTTTTTGGAGTGAAGCAGAATTTTAAAAAAAAAGTTAAAATAAATACAACATAGACAACACATGTAATTGTAAGCAAATGTTCAATACTTGAATTAAAAAACTAAAGAGTAGCATCAATTAAAGCACAAAATGAGCATCCTATTCTTCTACAAGATTGTCAAATTCTTGTATTCCACTATCATTATTATATTGCTCGTCATCTTCTTCAACTTCATCTTCTTCATCAACTAGGGACAAAGTAGCTGTCTGTTTTCCCTTTCTCTGTGAACTTGAAGTTGAGGTACTCCCCGTCAAATCATAAATCCTCTCACCAATTCCACGCGTCTTCGCAACATCACCCCAAGTGATATCAGAAGTATCCTCAAATACTTCTTCATCTGAATGATCTTTCGGGACTCCAGTTAGCCATTCATTAGCATCATCGATGTTGTCCAAACTAATTGGATCAATTACATTGCGAGCGTTGTAACGACGCTTCAATGTTCTATTGTACTTAATGAAGACTAGATCATTGAGACGCTTCAAGGTTAGTTTGTTCCTCTTTTTGGTATGAATCTGCAAATAATAAGTAATTAGTAAGATTAGGACAATTGAGATATAATTTAATTATCTCAATATACTAAATCTTTCTTATTAGTTCTTACATGCTCTAACACCCTCCAATTCCTTTCACACCCGGATGAGCTACATGTTAGACTTAGAACCTTGATGGCAAACTTTTGTAAATCTGGAGTGGAATGACCATATTGCTTCCACCATTCAACTTTAGAAGTAGAACAAATTTTTCAAAACATAATATTAATAAAGAAATAACTTATTAACTATAAAACAACATATAAGCACTCGCTCACCTAGTGACTTCGTCTTTCTTTGTCTAATCGCCATGTTTTTTCCAAAAAATTGTTCAGCATTCCTATAAATACTAAATTGCTCTGTGATTTTATCTTGCACGGATTCTTCAGGTATCAACTTCTCAATGCATTCATAGTATCCATTCCACAAAGGTTCATCTCCTAGAATCCTCTCTTCATTGTCATAAAACAGTTCCGGGTTCAAAACAAGTCCAGCTGCATGCAAAGGGCTATGAAGCTTACTATCCCACCTTTTATCTATGATCTCAAAAACTCTTTTGTATTTTCTTTGATCACTAAAAGAGGCTTGAATAGCCTCCTTTGCCCTATCAATTGCTTCGTACAAGTATCCCATTGGTGGCCTTTGCTCCCCATCCACCAAACGAAGCACTTTAACTAAAGGACCACCAATCTTCAATGCATGAACCGCATTGTTCCAGAATGAAAGAGAAAGTATAATATCTGCAAATTCTCTCCCTCGAGCTTCCCTTCCACAGGCACTGCTAGTGTACTCATCTGAAACAAACAACTTCTTCAAATTGCTTTTTTGCTCATACATCCTAGCCAAAGTCAAGAATGCAATAGCAAATCTTGTCTTTGCAGGTTTCACCAAGCTTCTTTGTTTAGTGAATCTCTTCATCATGTTCAATAACAAAGGACTTTGAACAATATAGGAATGCACTCTAATTGCTTGATTGAAGACAGTACTGAAGGGTCTTTCCTTGAAAATATCACCAAAGATCAAATTAACAGAATGTGCTGCACACGGAGTCTAATAGATATGCCGGTAGCAAGCAGACATCATCTCACCAGCTTTAACATTTTCACTGTCGTTGTCCGTGACAACTTGAACAACATTTTCTGCTCCAATAGAGTCTATTGTACTCTTGAACAAGGAGTACATTTTGGTTGAATCAGTCGAAGAGTTGCTTGCATCAACGGACTCAAGAAACAGGCTTCCCTTAGGAGAATTCACCAAGATATTGATGATCATTTTTCCATTTCTCGTTGTCCACTTATCCATCATAAGGGAACAACCAAACTTGTTCCATTCTACTTTGTGCTCCTCCACGATTTTGTTCACCTTTGCCACCTCTTTTTTTAGATATGGCCCACTAACTTCATAATAAGTTGGAGGCTTCATTCCTGGGCCATATTGGCCTACGGCCTCGATAAAAGCAGCAAAAGTGTCAATATAATTAACACAATTAAAAGGAAGACCTGCAGCATACATCCACCGGGCAAAGCAGGTAACTGCACGGTCCCTCAAAATCGCTTTTGCATCAACTTGAGGATTACCACTTTTTCCTC